GACTTATTTTCCTCTTTTTCTTTAGCTTTCTGAGACAGGGTCTTGCTATGTAACTCAGCCTGGCCGGGAACTCATTATAGGGCTCAGGTTGGCCTTCAAGCCCTCAGCACCCCCAAGCTGGCTTTCAATTCTTGCCAATCAATCCTCTTGCCTTATCCTTCCAGTGCTGGGATCACAAACCTGCACCACCATGCCTGGTGAAACCTTGCATTTTCTCAAGCCAGCGTTTCCCACGCAAACGCAAACGCTCTTCAGGGGTTGGGAACAGGTTCCATGTTTGCCAGACTTACCCCTCTGGCTGATGGCCTGAAGCTCCTGGATTTGTGTGTGTGTGTTCTGTGTGCTGTGTGCCAGAGTTTAGGCTAAGAACGAATTTGAATTCCAGTAGAACACACATTCCCTGAAGGCGTTGGGTCTGTTTAGTTCATTTTTCTAACTCTGGCACTTAGAACAGTGCCTTACACATAGTAGGTGCTTAATAAACTCTTTAAAAAGTGAATGATGTATTAAATCCAAGCATAAACCATTGATGTAGAAATAACATTTCAAAATTTTTTCCATTCTACAGTTGGCAAGCTGGTGGCTCAGATGGGCAAAGTCTTGGGAATCTGAACTGGGGCCTCACACACTCCAAGCACCTGGCCCCCGGGGGCTATCCTGGTGCAGCTGGACTGTAGGAGCTGCTCCTCATGGACACGGGTGTCCAGGAGCTGTCTGTGGGTTCTGTGTATGTGTGGCTGGTGGGCACCCTGGCTCCCAGGATTGGACATTGAAACTGCAAGTTCAACCTTGAAGCGCTTCCTGTCTTCGGCCATGCTGACTCTCATTTGTTCACGCAATTCAGAGAAAACAACACAGCCCTCCCTCCTCTGGTACCATCCTTAAGGATCCCCCCTCCCCTAAAAGCCCAGAGCCCTGGGTGTGGGATGAAGGGGAGGAGGGGGAAAGAGTTGAGGATGAGGGTGGAGGTGCCAGGGAGGAGGGAGAGGAAAGGGGATGGGTTAAGAAGGCGTGTGTGATGCCAAGCAAAAAAGACAACATTAGACACAGATGCTGAGATGACGTTTATCGCGGCAAAAAAAGGTGAAGTCGCCGAGGGAGGAGGGGTGGGGGAGGGGTGTGGTGGGGGCGGGGGGTGGGTGGGTCCATGGAAGCTAATACACGGTGCACTAGGTCACACAGCGGACACTGGGGTGGGTGGGTGAGTGGGTGGGAGAGGTGGGCGTGGCCCAGGCATGGCGATGGGGGGAAGGGGAGGAGAGTGCGGTGACCCCAGCCAAGAGCTTCTGGAGGTGGCGGAGAGGAAGTGGTCGGCGGCGCTGGTCGAAGAGGATGGAAGGAAATCGGTTAAGAGGGGGTTGAATGGAGAAACTGGAGGCATGGCCACTTTACTGTCCACCCTACCCCCAAACTGGAATGCAGCGCAGAGGCAGCAGGCAGGGGCTAGCCGCGGGGCTTGGACCTGTTCTTTAAAGGTTAGAAAGGGATCTCAGACGTTCATCTGACTACCTCTTTGCAAGAAAACAAGCCTAGCAGAGGGTAGCGTCAGGTCCCAGGAAGGATTCCCAGTCATTTCTCCAAAGACAGCCCCATCCCAAAGCCATTCTTTTCGCGCCCGCCTCCACCAGAGGAAGTGGAGGAGAGACTCAACTCTCAGTCCCTCCAAGGTTCTTCAGGGAGATTGGAGGATGAGCCCATTTCACAGATCTGGAGAACAGAGCCTTCCCTCCCCTGCACAGGGGGACCGTAGTACCCCAGCCCTTTCGGAGCTAATACTGTTTTCTTGAAATCCTCAGCATTTTGGCGGAACACATCTTGGGCTCCTCCCAAATCGAACCGGGATGTGGACCATGCCTCCAGTAGCTGAGATGCCAACACAAATAAAAAAGAAGGGGAGGGGGGGAGACAGAGGGAGAGAGAGAGAGACTCCCCACGTCGCCTGGCTCAAACCAAGTACAAAAGTGACTATTTACAGTGAAGGCGTGGGGAGTGGGTGGAGGCGAAGAGGAGGACAGTCGGAGTGGGCGCTCCGCTGGGGAGACCACGACCCCTAGACCCGCCTTTGCAAAGCCAAACAGCAAAGGTATTTCCAGAGGATCCCTGTGCCCCTGGGAGAGGCGGATCCTCAGGGGTGAGGGCTGGGGATGGGGACATGGGATGGGGAGGCATGGGCGCTGGGAGGAGATGGAGGAAAGATAAGCAACTGCCCTTAGCATCCACCCCCTGGCCTCCCTGCCGGACACACAAGTTTTCCGTGGGATGAACACAGAAAGGGTTAATCAAGAGTTCGATGAGTCTGACGGTCGAGTGGGGCGGGCTGGAGCAATGAGGCCGCAGGTTCCAGTGGTGGCCGGTGGTGATGGAGTCACTTAGAAGATGAGAGGTTGGTGGTTTTGTGGGGATGGGAGGGGGGGAGGGAGGAAGGAGGAGGGTCTCCCTACATTAATTCTAAGGAGACGCATGTCCTAGACTGGCTGAGAAGGGGTTAAAAACCAGCAGTCTTCACCACCACCACCTTCCAGAGACTTCCCCTCCCTCCTGCCCCTCAGCAGGCAGTCGACTGGGCTGCTGGTGAGAGCCTGGGGACCCGCAGGACCGCACACACCAACTGGGACATCCAGACCGCAGACTGTGGTGTGGAGAGGGCTCGGACAGCAAGGATGGGTGTCCACACTCCACAAAGCGCAGATCAGGCTTCCCTGGCCCCGACCTAACCCTGGGTATTGCGACTCTGTCCTCCCCCACGAAGGTTTTCACGAAGGTGATTCCGGATGGCGCTTGGGGGCGGATGCATTAAGTACAGAGAAGGCCTGTCTGGCTGTCCGATAGGTGTGCGAGCTCGGGGGGGGGGGGGGGGGGGCTCCTGGACACCTGGACTGCCACCTTCGCCACGCCACTGCTCTGGCGATCGGGTTTGCCAATTAACCTGCTAGCTTAGGTTGGAAACGGCAAGAGTCCATGCAATGGAAACCCTCCTCATTTTTTTAAACAGTTGGAGACCAACTAGCCATTAAGTAATAAGGATGGTGTAGGCCACAGGGACGGGCAGATGAAACAGAACGGGGTCGGGGTGGGGGAGCGCAGATATTCCAAGGGATTTAGTCAAGAGTGGAGGGAAAAAATACCACGGGGAAACAAGTGGTTCCGAGTATAGGACCAGTAAGACGACTCTTGCCACGATCCCGTAATTACCACCTCCAAGTTCAGTACAAACGGGCAGCAAAATCCTTGCCGTCCGATCCCCGCCCTACTAATTATTGCAGCAAATTTTCCTTGCCCTTGTAGAGATGGCTGGCAGAGGGCAAAAATGATGACTGGGCAGGCTGGCTCAGAGCCCTGCCCAGGACAGGATGGAGAAGGTGAATTTGGCACTTTCGAACCCCTCTTGTCATAAATACTTTGAGGTCCCTCCGCAGCGACTACCCCGTTAGGCCAGCAAAAGAGGACAGACACTGTCTTATCCGTCCCCAATTTCTATGGATTTGCCCAGAAAGAGGCAAAAGGGGTTCTCCTTGGCTGGTGGAATTTGGGGAGGGGAATCCAAAAAGGTAGGGGTTAGTTGAAAATTAGTTTTTTTTTTTCTCTTTTTCTTTTTCTTTTTTTCTTATAAAGATTCTAAGAAAAAACTCAGGTTGAGAGGAACGAGGAAGGGGGTCCAATTTAGCTCAGCGTCCAAAGTGTTTTTTTTTTTTGCCTCTTAAGGGGCCCCCTCTTAATTAAGGGGTCTCCTTCCCACCATCTGAGATCCTCTCCCCCCAGATCGGCTCAGTTCCAAGGAAGTTTGGCACTTTTTGCTTTTCAAGGGGAAATGAAAGAGTTGAGAATTTAGGAGGGGAAAAAGACAGACAAAGATAGAGACAGGACAGAGAACAGTGCGAGGGCGGGTGTGGGGGTCACAGGAGGAAAACCCAGTGGGCCTTAGGGAGGCAGAGAAATAAAGAGAGGGGAGAATGCTGGGGAAGGTATTAGAAGCTGGAGGGGAGATGAAGAGACAATTCAGTGCAGGCAACACTTACTAACTTATTAAGCACCTACTGGGTGCTGAAGAGTGGGATGCAGGAGCCCTCTCAGATCCTTTGAGATCTGACTGGCTAATGGGTAAAGAGGAGGAGATGGGTTTTGCTATTATTTTAAAAATAATTCTCATCCCTGGCCCGCATCTGTGTCCCTTCTGGACCAACTACAGCACAGAAAGACTGAGGTTACTTTGCAGAAGGGACTTTCAAGGGGTAGGGGAGATGATGGAATTTCCCAGGGCCAACTGGGTCAAGTGGGAGGCCTGCAGCTCCCACGCACCAACACTGTGAGTGGACCAGCTTACAAAGGCAACAAACCACCTTTCAGATAGCCCTGGGCGGAGGGGTAACGGATCCCCAAAAAGTGTTAATAGGGACAGGCATATCACACAGCCCGCCCTCCCCCAAGATATTTTCTCAGTGTGAAAGGAGTATTGGGCCCAGACTCCAGCCTAGGGCATTTGCAAATGGTCTCTGGATTCCACCCACCCATCCCAGACCTTGCTTCACCCGGACTCCTTCCCCTCCTCATGGGGCCTGAGGGCTTTACAGGGGATATTCCAGCTAGATACTTCACTACCCACATGCAAGGTGGAGCTACTATGAAATACTGTAAGGTCATTTAAGAGGTGGAGGGGAGCAGTGGCCCTGAGGGCCGCCCCCACCTCCAGTCCCTACAGCCCCAAACGGTAGAAGATATGTACAAAGTGGTATCAAGAATTGTTTTGGCACTAAAATCCCCATCTGGGCTCAGTGTGGAGATTAGGGGTAGGGGGCAGCAGCGACAGGAGGTGGGAGATGGGGGTGTGTGAGGGAAATGGGGCCTGCCCCTCACTGGGGAGATGAGGACATGGAAAAGTCACCCCAGTGCTCAAGCTATAGCCTCCCATTCCGGTGGAAGGGCTGGGGTTGGGGGTCAGTGCGAGGTACCTCAAAGGCTATTGCTTTCTAGGGATTTTCACATTTTGATTTGGGGGTGGCTCTCTAGCACGGGGTAGGGAGTCTCCCAGGCTTCGGGGGTAGCAGGCATTGTCTGGGTGGTTTCCCTCCTCCCAGCTCCTTTGTAGGGATAGAAGCAAGGAGGCCACCCAAAGCCATGGAGAAGGGCAGGGTCTGGAAGACCTAGGAGGGGGACAGATGGAGGAGGGAGCAGGCACGGGGTGCCCCTCCCCCAAGAGATGCTGATGATGGAGCCCGGGTTCTGAGGACCCTGCTTGGGGTTGGAGGACCTGGAGGTGGGAGGGGACAGGTGCCTCTCAGTGATCCTACTCTATAGGTTTTTCAGGCCCTGAAATCTCAGTCTTTAGAGTTGACAAGAGCCACCATGCTCAAGGGAGCCACTCCTAGAACAATTCCCAGGGCAGCCTGGCTTATCACAGTTCCGTTAGAATCTTCTAGCTCCTCTGAGCCTAAGGCTGAGCACACTGCATATTTCTGACTTCTCGCACATCGCCTACACCGAGCCCTGGAAGCCACCAAGCCCATCGAATTCGGCAGACCACGCTAGGCATTCCAGCCAGAGACACCCACAGCTTTGCAAGGCTCACTGAACTCTACACCAGATCACACGGGCCTGACAGAGCCACCATACATCTGGCTCATCCATCAGTGAAATGAAGCCACGTAGACACAGGCATGCACACGAAAGGCAGGGAGGGGGGAAGGGGAATCTTTAGCAATCCTTTTCACTAGCTGCTTCTCCCATTCTTACCTGACAAGGCAAGTTCATAGATGGTATGTTTGGATGGAGTTGACCCTGACAGCACTGCTTGGTTTTTTTTTTTTTTCTCCTTAGAACCTCCATGTTAGATCCAAGTCCCATCCTCTGTCTCTTCCCAGGGATCCCCCTCCCCCAGGGACAATACCCACCAAAGAGGAGGAGTGGAGGAGGAGGAGGAGGATCAAAGGACTAGCCACTGTCCAACACAGGAAGCGCATGCTTCATCCCTATGACGCCACAGGAAGTGACCTCAAGATTCCATAGGAAGTATATGCCCTCGCCCCTGGCATCACAGAAGTGACCTTTGAAGAAAGGTTTTTGGGTTGTGACCTCACAGGAAGTGATTTTTCTCTAACCAGTGCAGGAAGTAGCCTCTGAGGAAATACTTCCTAAGACATCATAGGGAGTTACTGGAAGCACCCCATAAATACTTAATTCAGTGACATCACAAAAGGGACCCTCGTTCCTCTAGGGAAGGCCATGAGAAGCCACAGCCAGCTGCCCCTGAGCCTTACAACAGCGTGGCTCGCAGGAACTGAGGCACTCCAGAGCTGGCATCGTTCCCAGCAGGAATATCTCTGCTTAACGAAGAGGAAGAGAGCTACATTTCCACCACATTTCC